TTACCTGACTCTGAAAACACTATCCATTCAGCCAGATTGGGTTTTGGGTTTTCAGCACTTCACCCCAGCACCTAGGAGGGGCTAAGTGAAGCTAAAAGCAGGAAGAGGGCCGCAAACCTTCAAGAGAGAGGTTTGTGTCTCACTGGGTAGGGAAGGGAGGAGGGTGCAAGAGAGGGAGCTTTCCTCGCTGGCTTACACTGCTTGGAGGCAGAAGTACAAGAGGAAACCATTTGTACAGGACTCTGTGGCTGGAATCCATTGCTCATGCTCCTGGGTTCCTTCTGGAATGCTTGGAGATCTGCCCAGCCAGGGTGATCCGTAGCTGTGCATGGCTCTCCACAGGCCAGGAGGGCTGATCTGAATTGTCTTTGGGCTTCTACACTTCACATCCAGCCTCGCCAGGTCTGACTTGTGGGAGACACAATGGGGGGGGGGGGGTGAGAAAGTGCATCAAACAGCAGAGAGTGCTGGTGTTAACGTGGGGGGTCCTGGCGTGGTGTCAGGTCCTCTTGGGCACAGACAGGGAGGCCGGTGGATAGAGCAGCTGGCGGCCAGAGGGTGAGGAGTTCATTCAGTATTCATTGCCTGAGCTCAGGAGAAGACACGATGGGAGCATAGAGTCTGTGAACAGAGGGAAATTCTGTCCTGGGATCTAGGGGGAAATGGGAGTCTGGATATTTATTTATTTATTTATTCTTTTTTTCTAAAGATTTATTTATTATGTGTTCAGTGTTCTGCCTGCATGTATGCCTGGTCTATAGAGGGAGTTCCAGGGCAACCAGGGCTACACAGAGAAACCCTGTCTCGAAACCAAACCAACAACAAAAAACCAAAAACCCAAAAAGCTAAGTGTGTGCCACCACACCAGGTTCTGCTGCTCTCATTCTTTGCTTTTTTGTTTGTTTGTTTGTTTTTGTTTTAGTTTTTTTGAGACAGGGTTTTTCTGTGTAGCTTTGAAGCTTGTTCTAGAACTCGCTCTGTAGACCAGAGCTGGCCTTGAACTCACAGAGATCCACTTGCCTCTGCCCCTCGAGTGATGGGATTAAAGGGACCCCCCAGTGTTTTATTTATTTTTTTTTATTATTTTTTTAAAATTTTATTTATTATGTATACAATGTTCTGTCTGTGTGTATATCTGCAGGCCTCATTACAGATGGTTGTGAGCCACCATGTGGTTGCTGGGAATTGAACTCAGGACCTCTGGAAGAGCAAGCAATGCTCTTAACCGCTGAGCCATCTCTCCAGCTCCCCCAGTGTTTTATTTTTGATACAGGGCCTCACTATGCAGCCTTGGCTAGCCACTCTCCAAACTAAAAGCGCAGCCAGCACAGTCAATGGTACCAGCCTGACGTCATGTCTAACCAGCCAATGGACAGATAGTGCTTCCCCTGAGAGGGAAAGGACATGCAGACCAGAGTATCAGAGAAAGAGCTTCGGAAAGAGGGGTGGGTGGGCACTAGGTGGAGATGACAACAGACAGTGGGTGTAGGATGTGAATGGCCAGGCCAGTTGGAACTGTTAGCCATATAGATAGAGCAGGGGACCTGTCACCACCTTTGGCCTTTGTGGGTACTACTTACACGCACACACACACACGCACAGGCACACGCACACACATACACAGGCACATGCATACACACATACACAGAGCCTGGATGCCACCCAGCTATAACAGTGGCAAGCTTGAACTGAGGAAAACCTCAAAGAGGCTGAGACAGGACAAGTGCCGACAATTAGCTGGGGGCCCCAGTGACAGGTAGCTGAGAACAGGGGTGGCCACCCTTGCCACCCTCAGCCTGGGCAGCTACTCCTGTGCAGTGAGTGGTTCCTTGCTGCATCTAGAATACTCACGCTCTGTTCTCTCACTGCGGCCGGTAGGCCCACCAGCCCACCCTCCCCTCACTCAGATATACCAGTTACACTGCCTTTTCCTCCTTCAGTGTGTGGACTTCATGCTGCCCCAGGGCCATTGTTCCTGATACCCTACCTACACTCTTTCTTCAAGATCTTCCCATGACCAGCTTCTCCGGTCAGCTCCCAGCTCAGACTTGTCTCTCCTGAGGCTTCCTGGGATCCGCTGGGCTACATGGCTGTGCAGGGCAGAGCACTTGTGGCCAGGCATGGTGACCTGAGTTTGATCCCTGGGACCCACACAGTGGAAGGGGAAAAACTCTGGGGCCCCATAAGGTAAATGGAGAGAACCTACTCCCACAAGTTAGCTTTTGACTGTGATACACGTTTATTTATGAAGGTACAGACACACAGACACAGACAGGTGTATACACACACACAGATCAGAATAAAAGTATTTTTTGTGTGCGGTAACTTTTAAAAATATTTATTTATTTATTTTTGAGGCAGGGTTTCTCTGTGTAGCCCTGGCTGTTCTGGAACTCACTCTGTAGACCAGGCTGGCCTTGAACTCACAGAAAGCCAACTGCTCTTTCCCTCCTAAGTGCTGGGGTTAAAGGCGTGTGCCGCCACCACCAGACCTCTTGTCTCATTTTAATGCATCCCTGAATCAGTCATTTCAGTTCAGCAATTTCCAGGTAAACTCTAGTTCCTCTCTCTCTCTCTCTCTCTCTCTCTCTCTCTCTCTCTCTCTCTCTCTCTCTCTCTTTCTCTCTCTCTCTCTCCAGGGTCTCCCTACACAGTCCTGGCTGTCCTGGAATGCTCTATGTACCAAGGCTGGTCTGGAACTCAGAGACCCACCTGCCTCTATCTCTCAAGTGCCCAGCCTCTTCTTTTTTGAAATCTCTTGCACCCCCAGCCTTGGGGCTCATGTTCAGTGTTGGAGGAGGCTGGCTCAAATGCCAGGGAAGCCTCGGTGGGAGGGTCACTCTCTCAGAGGCCATCTAAGAGAGGCCAGGGAGAACTCTGCACTGAGCCCTTTGGTGCTGGTCTGATCTGGTCTCTCCTCCTGGTGGGGATTCAGGTGGGCATCTTTCCAGCTACATCCGAGAGGATGAACTCAGGCCGTCATATAGTCCAGGAACAGTCTGCCAATCCCAACAGCCGTTACTAGCATAATCAGAGTACCTGTGACTATCTATGGAGAAGCGACCTCCCCCCAAGATCAGGCCCGCTGACAGTCCCTCACAGGAGGGGTGAGGAAGGACACTCGATCTTCACTGGAGGTCCCAGCCACTCCGTCATGCACCCCTACCCAACTTTATGTAACTGTGCCCCACCTGCATGAGGTCTCAGGAAGTGGAGTATACAGAAAGAAAATTAACTAAAGGCGGATGCCATCTCCACAGTTTGGGGGAGTTCATTACTCGTGTTGCGGTGGGACTTTTCAGTGTAGCCGCTGTTTGGGGGTCACCTGTGCTCTTGCAAAGAACCCCACCCATGCTCCTACATGTAAGCCCAGCAACTCATTGTTCACTAAGCTGGGTTTGGATGGAATGGTTCCCCTGATCTGCTGCTGATTGTTGAGGGGAGAAACATTTGTGAGGAAGCCGGAAGCTCCACCAGCGGTGAGTTAGTATGTGCCACTGCCTGGGGGTGAGGGTCAGTAAAGGGTCCCCAGGTCAATGCCACCCTCCACAGACAATAGTCCCCGCCTTCCTGCCAAGTGTTTGCAGCAGTCCTTCTTTTTACCCTGCAGGGGGCGGGCATGTGGGTCCCTGGTGTCGGAGAGACATCAGCTTGGCTTTGTTTGTATATATGACAGCATCTACAGCCCAGAGCCTGGCTTCAGAGAGATACTGAGTTTCCCACAGCTGGGGGCTGGGGCAGACAACACTGGGGTGGGGGTGGGTTTGTGCTGGGCCTGCAAGGGTTAGCCTGGGGGTGGCACTCTGAAATTGAGGCAAGCTGATCAGGGAGTGTCAACCAGGGTTCGGAAAAGGGAACAATGGGCAAGCCACCTTGTCTCTTTCCTTACTATACTGGACAGAGCGCGGGCGCGCGCGCACACCCACATCCCCACCCCCACACCCCCCCACACACAGGTGGACCATGCAGATGCAGTCAAAGTCTTTCCTAGGGCTCCCCCAAGCGGCCGTTTGGGGAATCACATCTATTCAAAAATCTTGCCTGGTTCCAGCTAAATTGCTAGAGCACGGCTTCCTAACACTGCTTTACTGACAGCCTGAGGATCAAAGAAGTGAGGAGGCTTATCCCACCTCATCTCTGGTTCCAAGTCTATTTCGGTTAAAAGCCTGTATTATAAGCCATCTCACTTCTAAGACCCTCTGAGTCTGAAGAGTCAAGTAGTTTCAAGAGTCGAAGGCACAGGGAGAGCTCATTCCTGACCTGATGCATGAACCAGCTGCCACCCAGCAGCTCATCGGTGTCCACTCAAACACTCGCAGCAAGGGTGGAACCACCCCTCACACCCATTCCCTGGCAACGCTGTAGAAGAGCTAACACAGGTAAGAGATGCTGTCCTTTGGGGTGGAGGGAGAGAAGCAGCAAGGGGAAGCCCCAGTCAGTGGCTAGCTTGGTAGGTTTGGAGGCAGTGCCCCTATTTTGCCAGGCCATGGGTGCTCTAGGCCCTCTGCTTTTAGGGATCTTTCTCAGGTTCCTATGGGCTCAGGATAGTGGCCTGGGCTGGGGGAGTCTGCGCTGTCTCTCTTCCTGGTCATTTACACTGAGACGAGGGAGGCTGCCCTGGCTGAGTACTGCGCTGCGCCTGTGCACGGAGTGGGGGGAGGGCTCCTGTGGGTGACAACTTACCATATGTGAAGCACACTGCTGGTGTGCTTCCTCTACTCCTGCAGCACACCCTCCTGAACCCCACAGCTGGTAAGACCTGCACCCCAGAGTAAAGGAGAAAAGCAGGGGCAGCAGCACCCAGGTCCTATTTGCTGTGTGCTCTGCACTTCCCTTGGGGCTCCATCTCAGGGTGAGACCAAAGATCAGCGATGCCAAGTCCTTCAGGCATGGTGGAGACAGGGACAGCAATCAACCTTCCAGCCACCGGTTTCCTCCCACTGCCCTCCACCCGGGGAGTCCCCCTTTCTCTCCTGTACTAATAAAACAGTCCAGACAAGTCAGTCCATTTTTGTTTTATTTGTTAAACTGCTAAAAAGTCATCAGGGGAAAACATTAACAAAACCGAAGTTGACAGATTTAAATATCCATGGGTTCCATTTTCATTCCTACACTGTGATGTGCCTAAAATGACGATCAGGGTGAGCCACCTGGCGCCCCTGAGTGGCATGGAAACATCACTCACAGCACCAGCTTCGCCAGGGCACGGTGGGTGCGCACTGACATGAGCCCTGGTTGGTAGAAGGGGACAGAGCGAGCGGAGCGAGCACAGTGGAGCCCAACAGGCTGGCTTTCACCCATGAGGGCGGCGGTGAGAGGCCATCAATGGAGGCAGAACATGGTGTATGCAGTACCCAAGGCCAGGTCTCCTTTCCTGGCCCCCTTCAGCTCCTCCCCACCATCATATGCGCTGGTGAGATAACACAAAGCAGAGTACATCACCATGCTGGGGTCACCATGAGGACAAGGACAGACAGACGGACACACTAAGCAGGTGATTCACTTTGAAGGGGAAAAGCAAAGCAGAATGAACCCAGAAAGATGTGGTAAAGCAAGGGAGGACCCCCTTGTTCTGTTGCCAGTGGCTGTTCCCGCAATGCGGCTTCCTCCTCTTCTCTGCTGTATTTAAGGAGTTCCAAGACCGCTCTTCCACAGTTCGTGGCTCAAACATCAAAGTCAATCAACCCACAGAGGCTGGGGGGGGGGGGGGACAAGTTCCAGCATTACCTTAAACAAACTCTTACTACACCTTACTGATGATCCCAAAATGTGGCACGAGGTGGGGTTGTGACGAGCTCACCCCAAGCAAGGAAGGAAGGTGGAAAGAGGAATGAAAACCAATGTTCTCTGCTGCATGGTGTGTGGATGATGAACAGGAGGCTCTGTGCAGGGGCGGAGCAGTGCCCAGAACTCTCACACGGGAGAGGCCAGCGAAATGACTGGTTAATATGACCGAGGGCTCTCAAAGGCACACTTGTAGGAATGGAAAGGGTTAAAGCTTCAAGTAGAAACAAGATGTATTTTAAATACTTAAATACTGATAAATATTTGCTTTAGGTGCTCCTGAGGGTTCAAACAAAATATTTTGTCTCATGTCTCTCAGTGAATTTTAAGACAAAATTGGTATCGTGTCAAAAAAAAAGGAGTTGTGGTTAAATTTGAACTACCGGTGTTGTGGGAATGCCGACCTCTGCGGAGACACCGGAAGTCCTGCCACACAGTCTCCCAGGGCTGGGAAGACACCATCGTCACTGTGGAGTCACTTTCCCATGGCACACATCCACAGAGCTCAGGGACTACCAAGTCCTGCACTGCTGGCTGCACACAAGGCTCGCTCTGTTTCCTCTGGAGGAACTGCAGATACCGGGCTCTCAGCAGTGCAGCCAGCCCCAGGACCCCAGAGTTCTGAGGAACCCATTGCTTTTGAAGAGGTTAATATTTCTGTTGCCTGCCTACTTGGGAAAAGTAGGAGAATCAACAGTTGACAGCTAGCTTAGGAAGGCCACAGGGGAAAAAGAAAGACTACAAAGTGGAGATTTTAAACTTCCAAGTGTCTGAATACTTGGTATTTAAGTAGAAACCAAGTCCAGGGGCACTGTCCACATGCAAACATCACAGCCAGGGTTCAGTAATACCAGGCTGCTCATCTGCTGGCCTCGCCTCATAAGGCAGGGCCCCACAGGATCAAACAGTCTCGGCTAAGGACTGGCAGAAATGACAAGGCAGGGAGCCGGAGCGGTGGGAGCAGAAGTAGGCACACGGGTGTTCCCTCGGGAGCAGCTCCAGAGCACAGGCCTTCCCTGGGCTCCCACAGGGGGCTTTCCTGCCAAGACCACCAGAGCAGAGTGAATGGCTAAGGGAAGACTGAGTGAAGCAGACACAGCTCTCAGACAGGTGGGGCCAGCAGCAGTGGTCTTGTGTCTGGGAGATGCTGACAAGAAAAAAGGAGAGTGGGTGGGGCTGGGAAACACGCTTTCATTGTTTTAGTTTTGGTTTTAAAGGCAAAGTGAAAATCCTTCACCACTGACAAGAAGCCACAAAAATCCAGAGTTGCACGGCCATTTAAAATAATCTTCTTTGCTATCTCCTATGCACAGGCTGCTTCAAGTCTAGTCATTTCCAGCGCCTCTGAACAACACGAACCCTCTCCTGGGGGGCTGTACTTATCTCGACTGAAGTGAAAGTACAAAGCCTGCTGGGGACTAAGGTGCAAACAAGAGAGCCCGAAGGATAGATAGTGCTGCCCCCAGGTCATCTCCAAGTGTTAAGGATGCAATTCTCAACCCAGTCACTTGCCAACAGCACAGCAGAAGGTGTCACAAGTCAGGAGACCCTTTCTGGGAGGAACTGTTCCCAGATTCCCCTTTAAGACCAACTCCTACATTTTACTAACGGGGACAGGTGTGCCCAGTCAAAGGAGATAAAAGAAACACAGAGAAAAAGGAATCTTTGGGGCTGGGCCTAGTGGCATGTGTCTTTCCTCCCAATATTCGGGAGGCGAAGGCAGGAGAGTCTGTGAGCTACAGTGAGAACCTGCCTAGGGTGGGGGGGTGTGTCTTATGCTTCATAGTGAGAACCTGCCTAGGGTGGGGGTGTGTGTCTTCTTATGCTTCTGAGTTTTGTTTTGTTTTACTGATATTGGCATCTTAATTTTACTTTGTTTTGTTGAGACAGGGTCTCATCATATAACCCAGGCTAGCCCCATCATCCGGCCTCTGCTCTGAGTGTTAGGGTCACAGGTGTGTACCCCCACACTGCGGTGGAAGGCTTGAGAAATCTGACATCTACAGACACTGGAGTTTTGTAAGAGAAGCTGGAGCAATGGAAGTCCTGATGCTTTTTAAAAAGACCAAAAGCCCAAAACAAAACAAAAAGTGAAATAAACCATCCCAAAACAAAGCAAACCACTGAAGGGCAGGGGAGCAGCCTACAGACAGAAAAGGGGCCTCTGAGGACCCAATTCTAAAAGGAAAACAGTATGTTTTTTTGGCAACTTGCAACCAAACACGATTGTCAGAAAAATCTCATAATTGGACACTGCATGTTTGCTGAGACATGTGGGAAGAACTCAGGACCGACGGACAGGAAGGAGGCAGACAGATGGCGGCTCTCTAAACATTGTTTCACCGTGACTCCAGCATGTGGGGAACAGTATTTCTTGTCGGGTGACTTCTCTGGATCACAGAAGGGACCAGGCACAGAGTGCTTCTGCAGAGCCATCACAGGTCCTCTGTGGTTCAAACAGGAGGGGACAGAACTTTTTCTGTTAACTGACTTTGACCCTGCAGCGCGGCGTCTGTCTGAGAAGGCCACAGAGATCACAGGGGGCTCTTCAGCTTGCTTCTCGTGGGAAGTTAATGCTGTTTGTCTTTCCCTAACTTCCTGGCCAACACAACAGAAAAGGCCAGCACAGCCTCCGCAACAGCTCATCTGAACCAGGACGGAGATCTCACCTTTACTTGTAAACAGAGTTGGGTATATAATATATCTGTATATATTTATATATAATCTTTTCCTTAATGGAGATTTGATCCCAGCCTGGAGTGAGTTAGGCCTGGAATTGGAGTTTTGGTTTGTGGGAGTCATGTTGTTTTCCCAAGTCTCAGTCCAGATGCTTGTACACTGGAAAATTCCAAACGAAAAGGGATTTTGAACACATTATCTCTTTGCTCGCACAAAGTACAAGGCGTTTGTTTTTGGATAGTACTTCACATTCTGCTTCTTGTCCATGAGCCCCCCAAATATGATAAGCTCTCCTCGGCCCTGCACCACTGTGTGCAGGCTGGTCTCCGGAGGTCCGACCACGGAACTGCTAGTAAACACTTTCCATTTGACCCGGCCTTTCTCCTTGGTGTCTTTAATGTCCAGAACATACATCTGCATGGGCTTACAGTTCATACTCTGGTACAAGGGTTTGCCAACATTGAGGGACTGTGGAGGGTGGTGGCCCAGACGGCGAGCAATGGGGGGTAAAGAATGACCATCTCCTTGGGCTGGTCCTGGGCGGGGGATGGGTACTGTTTCTCCACTGCTCAGGTTTTGACTCCCAGGAGAGCTTGGAGAAGACCCAAGAGGAGGACTTAGTGTGGCCGACGCTGAGGGCCCTTTGGATGACATCGCTTTGATGGCTTCCAAACTCCGCCGCAGGGCACTGGGGGATACAGCCCCTGCAAGGGCACTGGCCACATGTGGTGGGGTGTGAACACCATTGGTCTGTTCTGGAGGGTGTCTCACACTCCCTGCAACTGTCCTGTTGTCTGTACCATCCATGTGACTGCTGTTGGAAGCAGACTTCAGGTCCCAATTCAGATCAATGGAACCTAACCTCAAGTCCTTCTGATCTGGTAGAGACCCTCGTCGGGGGGCTAGAGAAAGTCCCATTTTTAGGTCATATCCTTCAGAGGCAGATGGAGTGCTTGGAGATACTACCTGTACAGGGCTGTCTAAGGAAGCACCCCCGACAGCTGCTGTTCCTGGAGACAAGGTTCCACCATTGAGGATGGGAGAGCCATCTCCTCTGGCTGGGGAGAGGCTCCCTTCCCGGGAACCTGACGGAGTCTGTCTTTGAGCCCTGGGCCTCAGTGTTCCCCAGCGGCCATTGACACAAGGAGCTTCATCCATACTCCTCACTGGGGACTGGGAGCGGTATTCTCGGGCTTCAGGAACCAGGGCTGGAGGAGTGGCACTGATGGGTGATGGGCGAGAGTTCAAACTGGGGCTGAGCGGTGCTCTCCCGCTAGGAGCCTGGCTGAAGACCACCACACACTGTCCCACCTGGAAAACAAAGGACTGTGCTCACAGCCTCGCCTACAGTTCTCATCATTCTTGCAACCATCCCACTGTCTAACACAGGCACTGGGAAAGGCCGGGACTGAGGGGCTGAAAGGAACAGTGGTCCTGGCTAGGAAGGCAGGTAGCCCTGAGCGACTGCACTACAGTGAGGTGCCGCCCGTTACGGCTGTGGAACAGGAGCTCTGAGGGACCTGGGGAACACTCTGCAGACAATTGGATCCTTAAAGCTAGAAGTCAGAGGATGTGCACCTACATCCTCCTTCCAAGCGGCTCAAGGACATGGTAAATACTGAAAGAGCATGTGACACCAAACTGTTTTCTACTTCTGTCAGCTTAACAAATTTGGTTTTCCAGTTTAGGACATTTCCCGCTGGCTGCTCCATCCTTGCTTACCCGGCAGGCTGGGTGGCACCATAGTTCTGGGGCACCGTGGTCTTCATTTTCTACCTTGAGTGGCTGCCAGGTCCAGGGACCTGGGTGCATGTGCAGCAGCCAGGCATCTTTGAACAGCTGCAAGAGAAGGAGCAAGGACAGGAGTCAGGGTTGTCAGGTGCTCCGACACACACAACCGCTGTCTCACACTGTTACGTCTATTTACATGTATCTATCTACTGTGTGACAGACTGTCGTCTTAAAGCCGTGCTACCTAAGTCCTCAGCTATTCACATTCAGCTCTGTCTGCGCCTGTGACTCCTGCCTCCACTCACTCATACATGACCCACACACCAACCGTAACTAGTGTGCGTGCGTGCATGCAGGGGAGACATGATATGTCCATTAACTTTCTCAGTCCGCATTCTAAAGTAATTCCATGTGGACTTCAGCTTTCCACCTATTTTCTACCCCACTGCCCCCTTAACGGGCAAATCTTACAGCTCAAAGAGGAAACAGAGCCAGGAAGAATTGAGGAGTGAATAAGAGACCAAGGTTTCTGATTAAAAGAACCTCTCACTCCACCCCCACCCCCCAAAAAAAGAGAACAGGAAAGGGCGGAAAACATGAGCGCTACCCTCGGAATGCAAGGGTGCTCTCTCTGAGTCAGCATGCCTAGGGCTCTGTCTCACTGAGCAGCTGAGGCAGAGTGAATGGTACTGATACTCACGGCATTGGGACCACCACAGCCGCCGAGGATTAGGATAGTTGTATCATCTATAACAATCTGGGAAAGATGAAGAAATTTAAAATAAACCTACAAGGACACTTCAGTGACTTACACAAATGCCACGCCCAGCTCCCAAGTAAGTGTTCCAGCTGCCTACTCTACCCAACCCACATCAATTAGAGACCTTTGAACTGATGACCCTTTAACAGACATATTCTAACTTAAAAAAAGTTAATACAAGTGTGTTAATCACAGAAAGTGAAGAATTCTCTTTAAAAAAAAAAAAAAAACCACTAAGGCCACTCTAAGTAATACAGCAATAGAAGCTGAGAACAAACAGAACAAAAGAAAAGAAAAAGAGAAATTCTCTTTGGCTCAGTGCACAGGGTACCTCACCTCACTCCCATAAAGATACTAACTACAGTGCCTGCTCAATAGTCAAACTCTTTAGCACCTGAGACTGGCCACCTCGGGGATGAGGGCTGGGGCCAGAGATGTTCGGCTTGGACCACGCCCACTGCTCCAGGTCCAGGACCCAAACTTCATTGCTCCTGTGAGACAAGAACACAGTTGTGAGGAAACTAGTTGGGAGCTCCAGAGAGCACAGTGGTGGCTGGGAGTTTCTGGTGCCTGTGCCCAGGGGGAAATCTTACATCACTTTCATACAAACAGCCTTCAGAGATGATGATTCCAGGGACTTCAGAAGAAAAAAGACCATGGCTGACTACCTAGTTTTGCATCCTAAACAAGAGACTTTATTTTCTTTACCTTTGGTTTCCTTTCCTATGGAACAGAAACATTGCTGATCTTCAAAACCGACAGAAACAAGGCACATGCCAGTGGGGAAGGGGGCCAGAGACCAGAGTTTAAGCCAGCCAGAGTGAGTTCCAGGACAGCCGGGGCTACACAGAGAAAGCCTGTTGTAGTAGGAGCTGCAGGCCGACTACAGAGAGAGGACTTGAGTGTTGTCTGTGGACATAATGCTGCTGCAACTTACTTGCTGGCAGGGACCTTGAAATGCCATAGAGTTGTGGCAGTAAACATAGCTACAGCCAGTACCTCAGCCATGAGGCTGGAAAGCTAAGGAATGGGCTGGATCCAGCCATCAAAGCCACTGCTTTAGTCCTACTGATATTGCTTGGTAAATTAAAGACTCATGTGGTCAAAAAAGAGACATATACAGTAAAAGAAAGATTCAAAGTCAAAGAAAATGTTTAAATGATTTACAGTGTGTTAAAAATATATGCAAGCTAAAAGTTAAAGTTCTTAAAAGTAAAAAGTGGAAAAAGGGAGTAGTTGGGTGTGGTAGTACACACCTTTAATCCCAACACTTGGGAGACAGAGGGAGATTGACCTCTGNAAAGAAAATGTTTAAATGATTTACAGTGTGTTAAAAATATATGCAAGATAAAAGTTAAAAGTTCTTAAAAGTAACAAAAAAGGAAGAGAGTTGTTGGGTGTGGTAGTACACACCTTTAATCCCAATGCTTGGGAGGCAGAGGGAGATTGACCTCTGTGACTTCAAGGTGTGGTAGCATACACCTTTAATCCCAATGCCTGGGAGGCAGAGACAGGAAGATCTCTGAGAGTTCAAGGATAGCCTGATCTACAGAGTTATTCCAGGTCAAAGATATATGGAGAACCTGTCTCAAAAAGCAAAAAGTTAAAAAGTAAAAATAAACAAAATAGAGTTAAAATAAAGTCGTACAAAGATGGAAAATAAAAAGAGAACCTTGATACTGTATGCTATTATGCTCTCTTTGAATTGTTTGAATGCTGAGAAAAGAGCAACAGTTGCTAAAAGATATTTGTTTATAAATGCTGCTGAATTAATCCAACATAGATATTTTGAAAATGCCTTGACTTTGAAATTTAGATCTAAGGACATGATGCTTTGGAAAGGAATTTCTTATTTTGTTTTCACAGAGGGTGAGTCTGTGAATTTCTTCTATTCCAATATGGTATGATGGACCACGCCTTCCTGAAGGGTTGCTGTGAACACCTTCAGAAAATTGCTTCACTCAACTGCTGACTGAGACTGAGATGACCCTGGCACACAGGTTACACCATGAAAGATTTGAATAACAGCGCCCCCATTCAGCAGGAAGCAGTTTGGAGAGAAATAACTGCGCCCATATTCTCAAATATTGTTTATGTTCTTTTACATTTAAAGGGGATATGATATAGATATGAATAATTTGCATTAGTATAGATTTTGCTTTATTGATAGATATTTAAGGTCAATTTTGTTATATGTATATGTATTTCTGATCTTGATTAAGGTATTGTGATTGTGTAGTTCACTTAAAAATGTAATGTATATAGGTTGTTAATGGATAATCAATAATAGTCAAGCTTGTAGTATGTTGGTTAAGATTTTCTAGATGTACAGATATATTTTAGATAGGCATTCTTCATATCTTTCAAAGATTATAGAATATGGCATTTTAAATGTTTTAATAACTTAGGACTTTTCATGACAATGAGACACTCTGCTCCTGGCAGCACCAATCTACTTCAAGAGGAAGATGGGCATCGAAGAGGATCCTTATGGAGTTTGATAGCCATTTGGGCAAGAAACTGCTCTTGCCTGGACTACTGCATAAACTAGACACAGAGAACCCGCAGAGAGAGGACTACTGAACTTGCCTAAAGGTGAGATGATCTTTTGGGGTTCCTGATTCATGAAAGAGTCTACGAGACATTCTGCAGGACACAGCAGATAGTGACTGAACTGCCTTTGAATTTTCCTGCTTCATGGAAATGTCTGCTGGATACCATGGGCCTGTAGACCGAAGAGGGATGCCCCAACGGTACAGAGAAACTTTGGGTGACTGTCCAGGCAGCAAGATGTCTCTGTCATTTCTAGAGTTTGGAAGTTGCTTATTTCTTGTTTGCTTAGGTAATATTGTATCTTTCTGGAGTCTTTGATGGAGTTGAAGAATAGTTAGTTATAGTTATAGTTTTCCTTAGTTATGATAAAGATAAAATAGATGTAAATATTGTAATTTTTACTTGATAACTCTTGTTATATGTAATTTTGCTATGTTAAAGTTAAAGCCTTTCCTTTTTGTTTAAACAGAAAAAGGGGAAATGATGGAGGAAGGTCATTGGTAATAAACAAACTGCCTTGGCCCATTTTGATAGGCCATCCCTTAGGTGGGTGGAGTAGGCAGAACAGAATGCTGGGAGGAAGAGGAAGTGAGCTCAGACTCGACAGCTCTGCTCTCTGGAGCAGAGGCCATGCTCCCCTCTCCCCGGCAGACGCATGAAGCAAGCCGCCAGGTCAGACATGCTGAATCTTTCCTGGTAAGACTGTTGCTACACAGATTATTAGAGATGGGTTGATCGGGATATGAGAATTCGGGATATGAGAATTAGCCGGTAAGGGCTAGAGCTAATGGGCCAAGCAGTGTTTAAATGAATACAGTTTGTGTGTTGTTATTTCTGGTATAAAGCTAGCTGTGCGGGAGCCGGGCAAGACAAAAAGCAGGCCTGCAGCTCCCTCAACACCCTGTCTGGAAAAAACAACCAAATAAATGCATAAATAAATAACACACACACACAATTTACATTATACAAGCGTCTCAGCGTCACTTAGCGCTGAACCCATCCTGAGACCTTTCAACCTTTTATTTCTCTGTGGTCATAAGGTCTTAGCTGAGGCGAGTGTGCTTCCATACCTTGGACCCAAAGTACAAGCAGGAAGTAGCAGCTTCTAAAAACAAAAACCATGAGAGACAAAAAACTGGTTCTAAAGGCATCTATCATGGTGCAGGAGTATTTCACAGTGCTAGTAAAAGCTCAAGTTTTTGTTTATCAAGATAGGTTTCTCTACGCAGCTCTGGCTGTCCTGAAACTCACTCTGTAGACCAGGCTGACCTGGAACTGACAGAGATCCACCTGCCTCTGTCTCCCAAGGCTGGGATTAAAGGTTTGCAACACCACAACCTGGCTTAAAAGCTTTGATTTTATTAAGAACCAACTGCTACATTCAACTCCAGAGGGCAGCAGTGCTGGGCGTGGCGGCATACACCTTTGGTCGCAGGCAAAGGCAGGCAGGTCACAGTGAGTACAAGGTTAGTCAGGTCAGCAAGAGAGTTTCTGTCTCAAAACACCTACTCTCCCTGTCAAAGGAAAGGAGCAGCACTTTGGCATGGACATCCCCCACCCCCACTGCAATCCTAGCACTCACAAGGTCGAGGACTGGGTGAATTCAAGGCCAGACAGCAGGGCAAGGGCTGAGTCCTGGCTGCAGTCTCCAGTGTTATCTCTTTAAGGTCTTCTACTTACACACAAAGACACAAAGTAGGTACTCCCAAACTTAAACCCTAAGTCCGCTCATTTGGAGGGCAGTTCCTTTTGTTTCTTTCCACAAATATTTTTTATTTAATTTACATTTTTGTTTTACTTTTTTTTTTTTAAAAAGTCAGATTTTCATATAGCCCAGGCTGGCCTCAAATGTGCTATGTAGCCTAGGATAACCCTAAACTCCATAACTTTTTTGTAGACTAAGCTGAACTCTTCTTATAATTTATTATTTTATTTTATGAGCATTAATTTTTTTGTATTATTATTATTAAAAATTTCCACAAGAGCATTAATGTTTTGCCTGCACGTATGTCTGTATGCGGTGTCAGAAGCCCTGGAACAGGTGTGAGCTGCCATGTGGGAACTGGGAATTGAACTCAGGACCTCTGGAAGAGCAGGCAATGCTCTTAACCACTGAGCCATCTCTCCAGTCCCGCACCCCCCCCCCCATAACTATTTTAAAACAGAAAGCTCATGAGTCCTGTCAGAGAGCAAGCTTGGGTCTGTTTTCTTGATGGTTCAACAGAAAACTCCTGTGCTCCCACTCACAGTAATGCAGACGGACTGCTGGTCTGTCTCTGAACTTCACAGGACTGGGCAACCCTGGAAGGCAGTGGCTGGGGAGCAGCTTCCCTGACAGTTTCTTGTTTCTAACTCACTCTCCTAATCTCCTTAACCCAATGGGAGAGTTCATGATTTCTACCCATCCAGTGACTATACCTCTCCTCCTGGAGGACCTGAGCTGGGCGGCAGAGCATCCTGCTTTTTGGAAGTGACCTTCTATGGGCGCAAGACAGAAGACAAGGGGGAAACTTCACAAAAACTTGACCCCACTGGATTAACAGAAAGAAATTCCACTTAACCTTGACTTTAAGGAGAAAATCTGGTATGTGATGGAGAGACTGAAGAACTAAATGCTGGGGTAAAGCAGTTAACTAGGTTACTGAGAACTTTGTTCAGGGACAAGGCTGTGCCTAGTTCACTTTTCTGGCCTGTTACGACCAGGAATTTCTATCTTTACATTAGCATGAAGCAAATCAGAAATACTTACATTTGCCGGGATCCTAAAGAGCCACCAAAGACAATCATTTTATCACCTATCACACAGGAGGAATGGCCAGCCATGGGAGGAGGCCCATGGGTAGTAACAATGCAGTTCCACCTAATGGAAAGCAGAGGGAAGAAGCAAAAGTCAGAACCACGTACTCCATCTTGAAAGTATAAGGCACAAAGGAGTGGTGGCATCCACTAAGAAAGACAGCCTGTTTTCTAGCACATATCTGCTAGACACACACACACATACATGTAGGCAAATGCACATAAAAAAAGAAAGAGAGACATGTCTGTCAAGCGTGGTGGTGCACACCTTTAAATCCAGCACTCAGGAGGGGAAGGCAGGAGGATCTCTGTGACTTTGAGGCCAGCCTGGTCTACAATAGTGAGTTCCAGGACAGCCAGGGCTATCTAGAAACACAAAATAAGACAGCCATGTCTGAGAAATAACCCGTGTGGCCCAAGACTGCGGCAGTACACAGGGTCTCCACGCACACTGCTCCTGGAAAGGAGCCACTTTCCTCAGAGACAACAGAGCTCCCCTGCTTCTCCTCCTGTGGAAACGATGTTGCAAAGGTCTCAACCCAGAAGCAAGCTTCTGATGTGCGCCCTCTGCACGAGCAGAACTTTAGCTTCCATCAACCTCTTCAAGGGATTCTCTTGTTTTGTTAATAATTTTACAAATATTTACTATCATATTAATATGTGTCTATCTGACTGTATGCTGGGGGGGGGGCAGAGTCCAGAGAAGGGAGCTGGATCCTCTGGAGAAGGGAGCTCTAGTCCTCCCTCCAGTCCCTCCAAGGGATTCTTGACACACACACACACACACACACACACACACACACACAAAAGAATCCATTGATTTAAACCCCTTTTTTGGTCCAGCAGATAGCTTGATGGGCAAGGGCACTTGCCACCAAGCCTGACAACCTGAACCCGATCCCTAGGACTCACATGGTTAAAGGAGAAAAACAGCTCCTGGAGTTGTTCTCTGACCTCTACATACATGCTGCAGCATGCAAGCGCGCGCGCGCGCACACACACACACACACACACACACACACACACACACACACACACTAAAATGTAATACAATGAAACCCATTTCTTCCAGATATAGGATGGATTATCTTCGTGGCTTACCAATTTTTAGATGGTGAGTATGTATGAATTTCATCAAAGAATCTCTCTGGTTGGTGTAAGGGATAGGGACTTGGTCTCGTCCAGCCACCGAATAGCACTAGCAAGTCCTTATATACGACTAGAGTGGCTCCAGCTTTGGGGGAAGGATAGGACCCTAGGAAAAGGCAACAGCACCATGGTTAGGATTTAGGAACATACAATTCATTAGGCTAGCTACAGGTCATCTTTCCTTGGAAAAACAAGGAAGGAACCAATGTCACACAGCAGAAGAGAGAGAAGCTGGGTTTCTTAACTGGCTCAGCAGTTAGGAGCACTGCTGTGGAATATCAGTTTAAGGTGTGTTATATTCGTTTATGTTGTGGAACATCTGTTTAATGATGCAAAGATGTGTTGCATTCTTTTATGTTGCATTTGTTTAAACTCTGCAAAACTGTGTTACTGTGCCTGCCTAAAACACCTGATTGGTCTAATAAAGAGTTGAACGACCAAAAGCAAGGCAGGAGAGAGAAATATGTGGGGCTGGCAGGCAGAGAGAATAAATAGGAGAAATCTACGGAAGAGAGCGAGCGAGGACTGAGAAAAGGAGAAGGAGAGGAAGATACCAGGGGCCAGCCACTCAGCCACACAACCAGCCGCAGAGTATGGAGGAAAGAAAGATATAGAGAATAAAGGTTGAAAAGCCCAGAGGCAATACACAGTTAAAGAGAAACGGGATAATTTAAGCTAGAAAAGCTGGCTAGAACAAGCCAAGCTAAGGTAGGGTACTCATAAGCAAGGTAAGTCTCTGTGTATTTATCTGGAAGCTGGGTGGTGCCCCCCCCCCCCGAGAGTTTAAAAACAACTATATTTTGACATTCCAACCAGGGACCTGAATTTCCACATAGAGTTTGAGAAAGTTAAGCAAAAGAAAAACCAGAAACGGTTCTTTAAGATGCTCTGCCATACAGCAGAGTACTTAAACAGCCTTTTCCACATTAAGTAGAAACAAAAAACTAAGTAGAAAATGCCTGCCACAGGGCAGGACAGGACATTGCCACTTCAGAGCTGAGAGATTGAATGCGGCTCTCAGTCACCTACCTCCAACTGGGCAGTGAGCTTTCAGCCTGGCTTTCACAGACCGGAGGAGGGGGCAGAGCCAGCCACCAAAGCTGCAGAGGCAGAACCAGCTATAGCTAGCAATTTTTGCTCACATGGTCAAAAAAGGCTGGAGATACATAGTAAAGCGGGTTTGTACAGAAGAAAACCCTTATACAAGTTACAATGTGTTTAAATATACACATAGGCTTAAGAAAGGACATAGTCATAGAAAGAAATAATTTTTAAAAATAATAGTTTTTAAAGAGAGAGTAAAAGTAATGTAAAAAAGAATAAGCCACAGAGATGGGAAGCACACAGGGAGTCTGGTCCTGTACAGCACTGTGCTGACACTGAATTTTTTGAGTGTTGTTGAGCAAACAACAGTGGCTGACAGACCCAGGACTATGAACTGCTTCATTGAACCAACCTAGATACTTTAGGGCTATCTGAACTTTAAAAAAGAAGTTAAAAAAATGTTACATTGGAGAAGAGGTTTTGCATTTGTTTCCACAAGAAAATGAGAGGCTGTGAATTCTTTCAAGGGTTAATATGGATCAGGTTTGATGGGGGAGGCCTCTTGACGCTTGGCAGGTGAGATGGCATCAGCAAAGGTCACAGCTGGTCTTCCCAGGACTTGGCCATTATCTCAATTTTCTTAGGGACCTCTAAAGATGCTTTCACCCACAGATAACAGGAAGCAGTCTAGAGAACATACTACCTACATTCCCAAGAGGTAGGGTGGGTGGTTTTGGTTATTTGGTGGGTTATGGATGTTTGTTATCATTTAGAGAAATATAGGCTAAAAAGACAACTATTAATCTCAGATATTTTTGCATTAGCATGGATTTTAGTATACTGATAGAAATTTAAAGTTATTTTTGTTATACTGTATATGTTTTTACTCTTGTTTGGGGTATTGTGCTTATGCAGCTCATTTAAAAATATGTAATATATAATTAAGAAAAGAGGTTAGTAGTTAATATACAATAATCAAACAAATATAATCAAACCATTAGGAATATTTTCAAAGTTAAACAGGTATATTTTAGACAGATGATTTTCAAACACTTCGAAGACCTGCAGAATATGGCACTTAAGATATTTAATAACCTTAGGTTTGTGCTGGAGAGATGGCTCAGTGGTCAAGAGCACTGACTGCTCCTCCAACGGTCCTGAGTTCAATTCCCAGCAACCACTTGGTGGCCACAACCATTTGTAATGAGATCCGGTGCCCTCTTCTGGCCTGCAGGCATACATGCAGACAGAATACTGTATACATAATAAATAGATTAAAAAAAAAATACCGACTGGACAAGTGAGCCACAGGAAAAAGGCAAAGTTGGACAGTCCTTTAAGATTCCTGTTTCCCGGGGCTGGAGAGATGGCTCAGAGGTTAAGAGCATTGCCTGCTCTTCCAAAGGCCCTGAGTTCAATTCCCAGCAACCACATGGTGGCTCACAACCATCTGTAATGATGTCTGGTGCCCTGCAGGCATTCACACAGACAGAACATTGTATACATAATAAATAAATAAATATTAAAAAAAGATTCCTGTTTCCCAGAAGATTCTACCAGATATTCTGCAAGACAGAGGGAAGTGACTGATAAACTTTACCAATACAAGTTGGGACAGTCCTTCAAACTTCCTGCTTCACTGAAAAGTCTGCCAGATATTCTAGGGCTGTAGGCCAAAGATGGATGCCCCAATGTTGCAGAGGAACTCTGAGTGAATGCCCAAGCAGTTAGATGTCTCTGTTGGTAGGTAGTATTACATCCTTCTGGGATATTTAACGGAGTTAAAGACTAAATAGTTTTAGTTTCCCTTAGTTATGACAGAAAGTAAATTAGGTATAAAACTTTGGAATCCCTAAGATAAAACAAATAATGGAGTATTTTTTCTCTGAATTTGCTAAATATAAATGGGCTGAATATTGTAAATGTAACTCTTACTAGATAACTTTTTGCTGTATGTAGTTTTACTGTGTTAAAGTTAAAACCTTTTCATTTTTATTTAGACAAAAAAAGAGAAATGTTGTGGAATATTAGTGTAAAGTTGTATTACATTTGTTTATGCTATAGAACATTTGTTTAATGATGCAAAGATGTGTTACATTGTTTTATGTTGCATTTGTTTAACTCTGTAGAGCTATGCTACTTTGCCTGTCTAAAAGACCTGACTGGTCTAATAAAGAGCTAAATGGTCAACAGTGAGACAGGAGAGAATAATAGGCAGGGCTGGCAGGCAGAAAGAATAAACAGGAGGAGAAATCCAGGCAGGAGAGTGAGCAATGAGTGAGAAAAAGAGGAGAGGAGGATGTCAGAGGCCAGCCACTCAGTCAGTCATGGAGTAAGAAAAAAAGAATAGAATAAAGAAAGGTGGGGCTAGAGAGATGGCTCAGAGGTTAAGGGCACTGCCTGCTCTTCCAGAGGTCCTGAGTTCAATTCCCAGCAGCCACAACTATGCACAATGAGGTCTGGTGCCCTCTTCTGGCCGGCAGGGCCAGAACAGGGAAAACACTGTATACATAATAAATATTTTTAAATCTTAAAAAAAAAAATTAATAAAGGAAAAAAGCCTAGGGTTAAAACATAGTTAAAGAGAAATGGGCTAATTTAGGTTAGAAGAGCTGGCTAGAAACAAGCCAAGCTAAGGCTGGGCACTCATAAGTAAGAATAAATCTCAGTGTATTGGGAGCTGGGTGGCAGACCCCCAAATAGTAAACAACAATAACAACAAAAACTACAAACAACGGCTGCTCTTTCAGAGGATCAGGGTTCAATTACCAAAACCTGGCTGGCTGCTCACAACATGTAACTCCAGTTCCAGGGGATTTGATGCCCTCTTCTGACCCCATAGGTATCAAACACACACATGGTGATGCGCATGTAGGCAGAATATTCAAGTACATAAAATAAATTAAAAATCCTTTTTTTTTTTTTTTTTTGAGACAGGGTTTCTGTATAGCTTTGGAAGCTGTCCTGGAACTAGCTCTTGTAGACCAGGCAGGCCTCGAACTCACAAAGTCCGCCTGCTTCTGCCTCCTGAGTGCTGGGATTAAAGGTGTGCACCACCACTGCCTGGCTCTTCCAAAGTTCAATTCCCAGCCACCACATGGTGGCTCACAACCATCTGTAATAAGATGTGGTGCCCTCTTCTGGCCTGCAGGGATGCATACTAAATATATACTATATAGAATAAACAAACAAACAAATGAGTCTTTTTTTTTTTAAATGTTTATTTTAGTATTTCTGTGCAAGTGTGTGTGTGCCCTTGGTGATCAAAGGCATCAGCCTCCCTGGAGCTAGAGTTGCAGACCCCTGCTGTCTGACAAAGTGGACACTGAGAACTAAACTTGAATTCTCTGCAAGAGCAGTATGTGCTGTCAACTACTGATCTATCTCTCCAGCCCCTCAAAACACAATTTTTAAAACAAACCTGGTAATCTACATAAAAATCTCTAGAGCACCTATAGTGAGCCAGGGATTCCATTTCTGGGGTTAATAAGATCCCTGAGCAAAAGAAAGAATCAGCACTGCACAGGTATTTTGTCTGGGAAGAGGGACTTCAATTGAGAAAATGCCTCCAACAAACTGCCTGTGGGAAAGTCTGTAGGACATTTTCTTGGTTAATGATTGATGTGTGTGGGTTGAACCCACAGGGGTTCATGACACTAACAGCCAAGAAGGAGATTTACAATCCCATCATTTCCTAAAAAATCATTTATAGTCTCAACAAAAGGATTTTAATCTTAGTTTTAAGATTTAAAAAGTAAAAAAAAATTAGCACATTTTTATTTATTCATGTGGTGTGTGTGGTGGTAGTTACACACTTGTCAAAGTACTTATGTGGAGGTCACAGGATACCTTGCAGCTCCTTCCTTCCTTCCTTCCTTCCTTCCTTCCTTCCTTCCTTCCTTCCTTCCTTCCTTCCTTCCATTTTGTGGGCTTCAGAGATGGAATTCAGGTTGGCAGGCAGGGAGCAGGCAATGCTTTTTCCTCTGCTTTCTTTATATACAGGGGCCTCCCTTTGGAGGGTACCACCATCCCGAGGGTCTTCCGTTCTCAGATAACCCTTCC